AGGCACGGACGTGAGCAAGGCAGCCCCAGACGTGGAACGCAGACGCGTCACCAGGAGACCCAGTCCAAAGACGAGTCGGCGAAACCTGCGGCTGCTGAGGGTGCGGCCACAAGTTAAGCTGGTGAGAAGCGTAGCGCACAGCGAACGGCCACAGAAAATGGGGTGCACCGGCATGGATCATGGAGGTGCGAGCAACCTCCATGACCAAACCGATGTGTCGCTCAGCGACCCCATTCTGCTACGGGGAGTCCGGTAGGGTGAACGTCTGGGTGATGCCCTCCGCACGACAAAAGCGACCAAGGACACCTGAGGCAAACTCGCCACCACGGTCGGAGTGAAGACGCAAGACAGGGAGACCGCGGTGGACACGCGCAGAGACAAGCCAGGGGATGAGAGCGCCAGGCACGTCGGCCTTGCGCTCCAGGGGAAAAACCGTGGTGTAACGAGTGAAGTCGTCGACAAGCACAAGGAAGTAGCGCTCTCGACGCGGCCCAGGAACAGGGGCGGGGCCCCAGACGTCCAGGTGCAGGGTCTGCAGCGGCGCGGCGGTAGGGGGAAACGAGGAGGAGTGCGGGGCACGGCGAAGCCGACCCTCAACACAAGGCGTGCAAGGTGGGGCTGGGGAGGAGGGAAACGCGGGGAGGGAACCTGGGAGACCAAGGACAAGACCGTGCTGGGACATGTGACGCAGACGCGGGAGCGCAGGGTGACCTAGGCGGTGGTGCCAAAGGAGAGTCGGGTGAGTGAGGGACCGACAGGAGCAGGCAGCAGCAACCTGGGTAGACGCAGCCACCTGAGGAGGCGCCCCAGCCGGGGGGGTCACGGTGTCCAGAGTGAACAGGCCGGACACCGGGTCCCGGGGGAACGTGGACAGGGGGGCACCAGTGGCGGCCTCGGTACAGACAGCATACCGCTCGTGACCAGGGAACGTAGTGGTGACGCCAAGGTCCTGGAGGCAGCCGACACCAACTAGGTTCCTGGAGAACGAGGGGATATGCAGACCTGTGAGAGAGCCCGAAGGAACCGCCGGACAGGGAAGGGTGGTGGAACTGCGGGCGACGACCGGACCGCCAGAGGGGTCAGCAAGAGAGACGGCAGCTGGGACAGGAAGCGGCGTCAGGGTGGTAGAGTCGCGGAAGAAACACCGAGAAGCGCCAGAGTCCAAGGTGAAGGAAAGCGAAGCAGAGGCGTCTGGCAACGGAACGACGGCGGAAGCACCAAGACTACACAAAGCAGGGGATCCTACGCCTGACGCAGCAGGGGAGGCTAAGCTAGGCACACCTACACTAGGCAACAGTGAGTAATAAGCGGGAAGCACACTAGAGTCATCAGCATACATCATATGCAGAGCAGCAACAATGGCATCTATGTCCATATCAAAAATCTGAATCTTACGACTAAGCAAACTGTGCCAGTCCGGGAGGTCTGGCGACGGGCCGAAGCGCTGACGAAAGAGGTCGTCCAGGCGACGAAAACAGCGGGGAGTGGAGTGACCGAGCCTACCGCAAACGAAACCGCGGCGAGGACCGGTCTGGATCTGGTACTGACAACGCCCGCCACCAGAGCCACCACTCAGCACACCACCACGCGCCCGGCCACCGCCAGCGCCGGGCCACCCGGGCGGGAGGACACTCGTCTGCCGCGTCTGCGACGGCTGCTGCGGCTGCTGCGAAGGCTGCGACTGCGGCGGCTGCTGCGGCTGCTGCAACTGCAGGGGCGGCGGCTCAGCTGGACTGGGCAGGGTCCCCTCGTCCGCTCCAGCACCAGACGACCCAACCCCACCACTACCCCCTCCCGCACCCCCGCCGCCGCCGCCGCCGCGCCCAGCCTTGGGGCGGCGGCCCTTCCCCGAACGAAACTGCGCTGCAGCAGCATTCTCAGCCACTGCGGCAGAGCCGTCGGAGAAGGTACACTGGGCGGGGGCACAACCCTGAAAGATAGGGGCCGGCACGACACCGCTCGCCTGGGCGATGGAGCGGTGACGGGTCTCTATCATAGTCAGGGTGTCGACAAAGTCAGTGAGGGTTAGGTCGGCGGGGTGAATGCTAAGGAAGCGGTCGCGGGCGACAGCAAGGCGGTCAGGGAGGCGGGTGGCAAGCAGGTAGAGGGTAGAGGTAATGGGCGGCTGGTGTGCTCTAAGCTGTGCATCAGTGCAGGCTGCACGCCAGGTCTCATCTATCGAGCGCAGGTGGGCAGCGAGGTCAGAGACAGTGGGGAAAGACGCAAGGTCAGGAAAGAGCATCGGGAGGATCAGGCGACCCACCGAGGCAGCCGGAGGGGTGGAATAGCGCTTGATGACAGCATCTAAGTATGCCTGAGCAGTGGTGAGAGACCTAAAGCGAGGGCACTCGGACGGGGGAAGGGCGTTGCTGATGGCAAGCTGGGCGACAGCATCGCGAGAAAGCCAGACAGAGCGCGCACGGGCAGTGGCAGCAGTGGACTCGCGCTCAGTGGGTGTGGATTCAACGGGCAGAATAGCAGGGGGGTCTGGGCAGGGGATCGTACCGTCAAGGTGTGCGGAAAGCGGTTCACCATCCTGCCGCTGGCCAGTGAGTTGGCGACGGAGGTCGGCAAGCCACGCCTCGAACTCCAGAGGCTGGCCTTCAGCGTCGAAGCGAAGCTCCGCCGCCATCAGGAACAGTGCAGTGCAGCGCAGGGCAGTGCAGCAAGGTGGAGTGCGGTGCCGTGCGGTACAGTGCGATGCAGTGCGGTGCAGTGCGGTGTAGGGCGGTGCAGTGCGGTGCCAGGCAGTACAGGGTGGTGCGGGGCAGTGCAGTGCGGGGCAGTACGGTGCAGGGCAGTGCAGGGCGGGGGGGGGGAAACCGTACCAGTGAGGAGGACCGGGGCCGGGGCAGGGACGAGCGCAGGGGCCGGGCCGGTGCAACGGGGCCGGGCGGGCGCGACGGGGCCGGACGGGCGCGACGGGGCCGGGCTGGTGCGACGGGGCCGGGCCGGTGCGACGGTGCCGGGCCGGTGCGACGGGGCCGGGCGAGCAGGACGGTGGCCCAGGAGGGGCGCACCGGGGCTGTGCGGGCGCGACGGGGCCGGACGGGTGCGACGGGGCCGGGCGGCTGCGACGGGGCCGGGCAGGGGGCGACGGGGCCGGGCGAGTGCAACGGGGCCGGGCGGGCGTGACGGGGCCGGGCTGGTGCGACGGGGCCGGGCTGGTGCGACGGGGCCGGGCTGGTGCGACGGGGCCGGGCTGGGGCGACGGGGCCGGGCGAGCGCGACGGGGCCTGAAGGCGTGACGGGGCCCAGGAGGGGGGGGGGGGGGCTCGACGCGGCCCAGGAGGGGCGCTACTGGGCCCAGGAGGGGCACGACGGGGGCACAGGAGGGGCGCTACAGGGGCCCAGGAGGGGCGCGACGGGGCCCAGGAGGGGCGCTACGAAGCCCAGGAGGGGCGCAACGGGGCCCAGGAGGGGCGCTACGAAGCCCAGGAGGGGCGCGACAAGGCCCAGGAGGGGCGCTACGGGGCCTAGGAGAGGCGCGACGGGGCCTGGGAGGGGTGCGACGGGGCCCAGGAGGGGCGCTACAGGGCCCAGGGAGGGCGCGACGGGGCCCAGGAGGGGCGCTACGGGGCCCAGGAGGGGCGCTAGGAAGCCCAGGAGGGGCGCGACGGGGCCTGGGAGGGGCGCGACGGGGCCCAGGAGGGGCGCTACAGGGCCCAGGAAGGGCGCGACGGGGCCCAGGAGGGGCGCTACGGGGCCTAGGAGGGGTGCGACGGGGCCCAGGAGGGGCGCTACGGGGCCCAGGAGGGGCACGACGGGGCCCAGGAGGGGCGCTGCGGAGCCCAGGAGGGGCGCGACGAGGCCCAGGGGGGGCGCTACAGAGCCTAGGAGGGGCGCGACGTGGCCTGGGAGGGGCGCGACGGGGCCCAGTGAGGGGTGCGACGGGGCCCAGGAGGGGCGCTAGAGGGGTGAGCGGAAGCGGTAGGTGGGGGGGGGGGGATCCTACCTACGCGTGATACCATAACAGAAACTGAGAAGTGTGTGATAGATAGAGTGTACACACAGATATATCTAAGTGTTGTACTCTCTAAGAGACGACCCTATACAGTCTATACAAACATGACAAATACACATGTTTGACACCATGATCCTCCTATGTCAGGAGCCTCGACTCGAGGGCAGAGCGAAGCACATCCAGCTGTGACACTTCCTCCTGCGTGAGCTCCAGCAGCGCCGCCAGGATCGCGTAGTACACTTGGCCTCCGATGCCAACACAGCTGATATCTTTACGAAGGCACTTGCGCCTAAAGATCATCAGCGGCACTGTGTACAGCTAGGTCTCGTTCCTGTAGCCTCTCACTTGCTAGGGTCTTGACCTTGTACTGTCCTTTCTATATATATATTTATTTATTTATTTATTTATTTATTTATTTTACCCTGACTGGCCTTGTGGCCTCTCCTAGTGGCTGGACTAGTAGTGCCGCCCTGGTCTTGCTCTTGCCTTGTCTGTATTCCTTTGACTGGTCTTTAGACCCTTGTCTCAGAGGCTGGACTAGTAGTGCCGCCCTGAGCTGCTTCTTCCCTTGTTAGGCACTGCCCTTATATAGTCTAAGGGGTGTGTCAAACATAGCTTATGCAGTTACTGTAGACTATATATGTTTGTGCTTTACTGGGCACAACACTCTAGACTATATTGCCTTGTATCTCACCACTCTAGTCATTTCATTCTTTCTGTTAAGTGTATCTCTTTCTTGTCTCGTTCTCCCTCTTTTCTCTCGCTAAACTTCTCGCTACCTAGCTAAACCCTACTTCCCTACTTCAACAGTTGTGGCAATTGTGCTCCACCTTGTCAAGCACAGGAGAACCCTGGCTGGTATGGTATGGCTATTCAAATTCTTAGCTGAGCTCAGGGTCATCTTTGTTGTGATGTTTCAATGGTTGTCTGTCGGTATATATAGAGTATCTGTTCCACTTCGCACACATGGAGACTTCAAGTAGAGAGAATGGAGAGAGGGGGTAAAAAGGCCTCCAAACCAACATCATTGAACACACGGTGGAGAGGAGAGTACTAACGCACAGCCAATACGTGCATGCCAAACACTCCACATTTCAGCACCCAAACTTCGGGCGAATTCAGGATCAGAATCAAGTTGGATCAGAATCATGCGGTACTGTGCGGTGCGAGTGTTTGAATCGCGTTTCAGTGTGGTTCATTTCAGTTACACGCGTTTCTGATTCTGATGCAACTTTGTAGGAATTCGCCCTTAGCACCACAATAGTCAATTTTGCGACGACGCGGAATATTCAAACAACAACCGTTTTTCCATAGACGACAATGACGAGAAGAGAAGTCGTAAACGGGAGTTGAGCTGGTAAAGCAGTTTCCATTGAGTTGCCATCTCACTCTCGCGCAGTTGCCGGACCACAGATGCCTGGATCAATCACCAAGTACAAAAAATGTTCGAAGTAGTGCACGTTGGAATGATGCATGTTACGATAATGCATGTGAAGACGAGGCATGTCCACAATGATGCATGCGAAGATTATGCATGTCAAAACGTGTCTAAATGGTGCATGCCCACTGATGGATGTCAACATGATGCGTGTCACGGCACCTGGAGGTTATTGCCGATTTGGATTTCCACCTCGGCGCCGAAGGAGAGGTTGGCAAGTGACTGGAAGGGATCGGAGGTGGGGTCCAGCGAGAGCAGGTTGGGGATCTGCGGCGCGCTCACCAGGCGCCACCTCGCCTGCCCGAACTGCCCGCGGCTCTCGATCTTGGGCATGAGGGTCTCCACGGTGGCGGCGGCCAGCTTCTTGAGTGCCAGCTGGCCGTCCTTCTCCAGCAGCGACTCCGCCAGCTGGCTCTCAAACAGCCTGGCGGCCTCCGCGGGCGACAGCACATCCTCCTCGCCGCCCCTGGGCAGCGTGGTGAGCACCACGTGGTCCTGCCAGCGGTTGGCGGGCCCCTGGATGCGCATCTGCCAGTCCGCCCCCACCAGCTTCAGGTCCAGCACCGGGTCCATGCCCAGCGCCGCCTCAAACCGCGCACAGTTGGGGTGGTCGCGGTTCAGCCGCAGCTGCGCACGGGACATGCCATATCGGTTGGGGACTCAGGGTTCAGCCAAGGCCAGTGTGAAGCAGGGATGGAGAAAGCAGTGATGGGCAGAGCAGCGAACAAACAAACTGCAAACTGTAACAACGGCAGAGGGGGCATATCGAGGGGGCATAAGTAGGGACGAGGTTGACCTGGGTGGCAACGAGGTTGACTTCGCCGTTCTCGAAGAAGAGAGTGCCAGAGGGGCGCACAAGGTGCGGCTCCGCGAAGCCATTGAGCTCGAGGTCGCCGCGCGTGGCGAGGTTGAGGATGAGCGGATACACCACGCGCAGCTCCGGGCCCAGCGCCACCTGCAGCCCCCTCAGCCGCACCAGCGCGGCGGGCGCCGAGGGGGCGGATGCGAGGTCAGGGGGCGCTGGCAGTGTTGCAGGCGGCACGGCAGCAGCAGAGTTAGCAGAAGTGGCAGTGGCACTGGTGGACGATAGCAGTGCAGATGTGCTTTCTGTTCATGGTGCCGGCAGGAAGGCATGGGGGTGAAGAAAGGTGAAGACGAGCACAGTGAATGGGGAAAAAAATGGCACACAGACGACTAAGGAGAACCCAATGCAAAGGACAAACACGGCAATGTGCACGGTCGCAAGGCATCAGAACTTGAAAGAGAGAGCCAGGAGGGCTTGTGCGACCCGGTAGGGAGGACTGACAGCCACACCGAGACCTGAGTGATAAACCCTGGTGCGGGGTGAGGGGTGAGGGGTGTAGGGTACAGGGTGCAGGGTGTGGGGAGTGGGGAGCTAAGTGGGAAAATTCGTTGAGGTCCCCCAGCGTTTTGCGTAAATTCGTAAGGGTAAATGCGTGCCAAGCGTTTTACACATTTACCTGGAATTCGCGAAACGCTTGGGGGAAATTTTCCGGGCAGCCCAGACAGGAAAACGTGAATTTTCCCATCCGTGGCCTCGCCAATTCGCGATTCTAACTTTTGAACCTCCAAACATGCTCCCAACCCCTCCCACGCTCCCAACCGCATCAAATCCCACCACATCTAGATAACCCAACCCATCCACCACCCAACACAACTTACACAACTATATCACGCATCTCACACGCTACTCTACCACACGTAGAGTAGATCTAGCTAATCACTCCTCCGCGTCCTAGCTAGTAAAACTAGTTTAAGCATAGACATTAGCTTACCTCACGAGTATGGTTGATGATGTTGCTGTAGGTTGCTGCAGGGCTGTTGTTGCGAAGGATCCCCCCCAAACTCTAGAACATGCTATCGCCATAAACTTTGAGAAGCAATATTTATTTTGTGCTCTTGCTTACGAAGAGTTGCCCTGAAACCCCCCACGCCCCCCCTACCTGGGAACTTTTTTTGGGACTGCCCAGACATTTTTTTCCTGCCCGGGAGGAACGAATTTCTTAACGAATTCAAAACACGGCCCTGACGTTCGGGCGAATTTACGCATTTACGCGAAACGCGGATTTTCCCACTTAGGTGGGGAGTGAAGGGAGTGGCGTGGGGCAGACCTTGCTCTGGGGCTGAAGGCGGCAGCTTCATGGCTGTAGACGCGGCCGCCGATGACATGGCAGGCAGCCAATCCGGTGCTGCTGAATTGGCAGGAGCGGCACTGGTGGGAGCAGAGAGTGCAGGTGACTTGCGGCGGTGGGCGGGCAGCAGGGAGGAGGGCACGGAGGAGGGGGAGGGGGTGTCGGCCCTGTCCTTCTCCTGCGACAGGTACGCGATGCCGCGCGACAGCCGGATGGCGCCCGTCACCTCAGGGGCCGCCAGGCTGCCCATCACACTCACGCCCGCGTCCACCAGGCCGCTGCAGCACCGCTCGCGCACAGCAATGGGGCATCGTCACTAGGGGTTTTTGCTACAGGCAAATTGACAGACAGTCATGGGCTGTACTGCTAAGAACCAGCAGTAAAGAAAGAACTTCACAAACACTACCACAACCCGCGGTCCAGCAAAAGTCAATCCTTTTCTAGCAAACGGATCCATGCTCACCTGAACACATTGCGCGCGCGCACTTCAAGGTTCTCCGCCATAATGGTAATTCCCTCCCCACGCATGCTGTCACGTGAATGCTCAGTCTGCCCGCTCATCCTCTCCCTCATACCCTCGCCCATCCTCTCCCTCATACCCTCGCTCCCTCCTCTCACCCCACCAACCGCCTGCGCCCCCTCCCCCTCCTCCCTTCCCCCCCCCGCCACCTGTGCGCCTAGCCCCAGCGGCAGTGTGCCCTCCACCCTGAGCGTGCCGCGCCGCCCCACGCGCCCCTCCAGCCCGTCCACCAGCAGCTGCTGCGCCGCTACGCGGATGCGTCCCCCCCCCCCCGTCAGCGGGCGCGGCAGCACTGGCGAGGACGCCGTCACCCGGCTGAACACCGCCTCTGCTGCCACCTCAGGGTGAGTTAGTGTTCCCCGGAGCTGAGGGGGCAGGACGGTGCAAGAGAGAGAGGCGAGGGGGCAGAAAAAGGGGAATCACGGGTTCTGAGAGAGGCGAGGGGGCAGAAAAACGGGAATCACGGGTTCTGAGAGAGGCGAGGGGGCAGAAAAACGGGAATCACGGGTTCTGAGAGAGGCGAGGGGGCAGAAAAAGGGGAATCACGGGTTCTGCAACGGAAGGCAACAGCAGGCGAAGACACTAGAAGGCCAGCCTTACCTGAGCAGAGATGGCAGCACGCACCTGAGCAGAGATGGCGGCGTGGCCTTGGATCCAGCGGAAGGAGGGTGAGAGAGCGGTGAGCAGCATCATGCCGGCGTCCGTCACACTAGCGTCCACCGCCATGCGCTCCACCTGCTCCTCGCCCTCAAACCCCCGCTCCAACTCCGCCAGACTGCGCAGCAGCTCCGGCCCCTTCTTTGCCTCCTCCTCCTCCTCCTCCCCCTCCCCTTCCTCTCCTGCCTCCTCCTCGCCCTTCTCCTCGCCCTCGCCTCCATCGCCGCTCCCCTTGCCCTCGCTCCACAGCCCTCCCTCTCGCTCCAGCCAGTCCCAGTCATGCCATATGCGGCTGCTCTCTCCCGTCCGCTCCCGCGTTGCACCCGCGCCTTCCTTCCTCGTCTTCCCCTCCGCTGCCGCCTTCTGCTTTCTCTCACCTGCCTTGCCACCCCGCTTCTCCTCCTCTCTGCTCCCAACAGAGGTTGCCCTCCTCCCTCCATTACCCAGATCTCTGCTCCCCCCCTGCACCTCCTGGCCTGTCTGCGCGCCCTGCATGGGCGGCAGCGGCACGTTGCCCTTGACGCGCACCTGCCCGGCCTCCAGGGCGGGCTCCAGCACCGCATGAAACAGCAGGCGCGATGCCGGCGTCAGGGACGCCGCCACCTCTGCCCGCCCCAGCGCCACGCCCGCTATCTCGCCGTCCAGCAGCCGCAGCTGAGGCGCGGAGGAGGGGGGGAGGGGAGAGGGGGGAGAAGGAGGGGGGCGAATTGAGAACGGAACAGAACACTCATCAGGGGTGGAAAGGGCGTTTAGGGTGCGCGAGCATGGCGTGGAGCGCTGTGCAGCACCACATGCACCATCAGCAGTGGGCCACTCCATCCACTGGTGCACCCAATCACTCCACTATGTGCACGCAAGCGATATTTGAATTTCACCCTCCAGCCCGCCCCACCTGGATTTCGCACTGTGGCTGGGCGAAGGAGCCCGAGAGGTCGCCCTCCACGTGCACCACGCCCCGCACCGCCGCCTGCTGCACGCCTGCAGGGGGCGAGGGGGGGAACGGGGCACCCGAGGCAGCAGACGGCTGGGAGGGGGCAGCGGCTTGGAGGGCTTGCAGGAAGGTTGGGACGAGGTGGGCGGGGAAGTTGAGGAGGGCGAAGTGCAGGTTGGGCGCGGGGCCGAAGAGCGTGCCGTCCGCATGCACCGTGGCACCGTCGTCCTTCTGCAGCAGCAGGCGCTCCACATGCAGGCCCCCCGTGTTGCTGTACCGCCCCCGCGCCTGCAGCTGCTGCAGGCGGTAACTGCCCGCCTCCCAGTCGCTGCCGTGCACGTCAAACGACGCGGACGTGTCGCCATTGCCCCCCCCACTGGCCTCCAGCACCCCGTGCCAGCGCCCCCTAAGATCCACCAGCCCCGGCAATGCCTCCACCGCCGCCCCCCCCCCCACGTCCGCGCCCGCTGGCTCCCACTCCCGCTCCCTCTTCTCCCGCACATACTGCCGCACGCCGCACGTGACGGCACAAATGGGGTAGCCATGTGCGGGGATGGGCGGGAGGCAAACAGGGGGGTGAAACATGATGGGGGGACGTGGCATGAACAGTGATGGGTGCACAATGGGCTATGGGGGCGATGCGGGGAGGCACGGACGGCAAGGAGCGTCAAGAACAAGTGCAGAGGAACACAGCACGCAAGGGTAAGCCCTGCAGCAGGCAGGCGCGAAGCACTAGAGGGTGTGTGGGTGGCGTGCAGAGACTGACCTCGAGCTGGTGCTGCAGGGAGTGCGAGGCAAAGCCCACGCCCTCGATGCCGTGCAGGAAGAGCTCCTTGGACCGAAACAGAACCGCCGGGTCGTGGCTACGAGACAAAATGCGCAGGCCAGGGAGCATCTCGCTGATGTCAGCATGGGGCACGTCGAGGCGCATGCGCCAGCGGCCAATGGACGTCATCATGGCGTGCAGCTGCCCCGGCATGGCCCGCTGCTGCTCCGCATCCCAGTCCGACCCGCGGTGAGAGGCTGTGGCAGAAGCAGTGGCCGTGGCGTCAGGGGTGTGAGCCATGCCTGTGACTGACGAGCTGTCTCTGTCTCTGTCCCAGTCGCGCATCCCTGGCAGCACGTACTCCCCCTGCACCTCGTACCGGCTGTTGGCCTGCTCCAGCACCGACCGCTCCAGCGTCACCTGCACTCGCATGCGCGCACGCACACGCACATGCACACACGCACACGCACACGCACGCACACAGAATACAGCACAGAGGGCGTCAGATGGCCAGCTCATGCAGCATGCATACAGGCCAACACAGCACACGACTGTCTCACCACGTCACCAGTCCACCGGAAGGCGGCGTGCAGAGCGTCACACAACATGCCACTGAAGCGCGGACGCCGCACAGCCAGGGTGCCATGGCCGCGGCGCTTGGCGAAGTTGAGGCGCACGGCGGCGCGCTCCACCAGGCCGCGCAGCGACGCCAGCTCGAGCTCGTCCAGCGGCAGCGCGCGCACCTCCAGCACCGCCGCCGCCCCCACCTGCACCTGCCCCTCCACGCTCATCTGCCCCCGCTGCACCCGCACTGCCCCCCCCGCCACGCCCCCTGCCATGCCCGGCCCTAGGGCACCATCCGCACTGCTTGCTGCCGCTGCTGCATCGGGCAGAGGAAAGGCCGCCACAGAGGCTTGTGCCTGTGGCATGTAGGAGGATGTGGTGGACTGGACGGCAGGGATAGGTGGCAGCACGCCATTGGCTGAGAGCTGCAGCATGAGGTGCTCATCGCCGCGCCCCACGGTGTGCAGGTTGAAGCCGCCTGGACTCACCGCCACGGCGCCTGAGAGGTTCGCCCCCAGCAGCAGCTGGTTCAGCTTCAGCCCCTGAATCAGCACACTCCCCTCCAGCCCTGGCAACCCTGCCTCCTGCCCCTCCCCTCCCCCTGCCTCGCCCTCCCTGCCAGCCTGCACCTCTTCCCCCCACGGCACGCGCGCAGACAGCTTGAGGCGTCCCGACAGCCGCAGGTGGCGCAGAGATGGCTGGGGTGGTGGCAGCGGCAGGGGGGCAGCGGGCAGCAGGGCGAGGGCGTCGAAGGCGCGCAGGCGCACGTCACTCTCCACGCGCTCCAGGCGCGGCCGTGGGGGCAGTGCTGGCAGGTCAAGCGACAGCACTGGCCACGGGCGTGAGGCGCTGCGGCGTGGGCGCGGGGGAGAGGGGCAGGGGGGAGGGGCAGAGAGGGAGGCGGAGGCGAGGAGGTCCAGGGCGTGCGCGTGGGTGGCGGCGTGGGCGGTGTCCCGTGAGAGAGACAGCGAGCCCTGCATGCCCTCCAGTGGACCCCGCGCCTGAGGGGCCTTCCACACCGCCTCCACCGTGCTGTGGGGGGGGAAGAGAATGGGCGAGGGGGTGTATGGGGGTGGGGGGTAAGCTCACATGGGAAGCAAGGAGAAGAAAAGAGTGAGAGAGCAGGCAGGAAGGAGAATGCAACACTGCAAGACAGACACGGGGAAGCAAAGCAGAGGGAGGCATACGGGGAGAGCAGGGAGCCTCTGAAGCCTGCTTCGCCAGACGCAAGGCCCAGCAGCGAGGGGGGCGGGGCGGCGGTTGACGGCAGGTAGAAGGCGAGCAGGCGGTCCAGAGACACGCCCGACGCCCAGCAGTCCACATTCACTGCCGACGGGTCCACCTCCGCCTGCCAGAGCGGGGGGGGCACGCACGCACGGCCATAACAGGTGTTGGGTCCGACGGTGGATGGTGGCGGAATGCAGGCGAGAGAGATACCTCAACCGTGAAGCAACACATATCTGAGCACCGGCAAACAACCCTTATCAATTTGACAAAGTACCCACCCAGGTTTACACTCACCTGAACACACGCCACACTCACCTGAGGGCACAGCATACTCACCTGAGGGCACAGCATACTCACCTGAGGGCAGACCCACAGTGTGCCTGCCCCTCGAATCTCCCCTCCTCCCACCGGCACCGCCCGCACCCCGTGCAGCTCAGCCACCTGGCAGCGTGCGCGGGCAGAGGAGGGGAAGGGGGAAGGGGGAAGGGGGAAGGGGGAAGGGGGAAGGGGGAAGGGGGAAGCAGGGATGCGAAGAGCGGAGGATGGCAGTCAAGAAGAAACGGGTGTTGCTTGCCACGGGCTCTCCTATGACTCCCAGCCATGCATCCTGTGGAGCATGTGCGCTGCTCACACACCCACATGGAGCAAGCCCCCTCACACACCCACGCGCAGCAAGCCCCCTCACACACCCACGCGCAGCAAGCCCCCTCACACACCCACGCGCAGCAAGCCCCCTCACACACCCACACGCAGCAAGCCCCCTCACACACCCACGCTCAGGAAGCCCCCTCACACACCCATGCGCAGCAAGCCCCCTCACACACCCACGCGCAGCAAGCCCCCTCACACACCCACGCGCAGCAAGCCCCCTCACACACCCACGCGCAGCAAGCCCCCTCACACACCCACGCGCAGCAAGCCCCCTCACACACCCACGCGCAGCAAGCCCCCTCACACACCCACGCGCAGCAAACCCCCTCACACACCCACGCGCAGCAAGCCCCCTCACACACCCACGCGCAGCAAGCCCCCTCACACAGTCGTCAGTGTTGAAGGTGAAGTTGGCAGACGCAGAAGAGAAGGGCACGCGGTCATACGCCCCCACCGCCCCCTCCTGCCGCCACGCCGCCACTGCCTCCGCTGCATCCGACCCCGCCACAGCAGCAACTGCCGCGTCCACATCAGCAGGCTCTGCTGCCAGCTCAGCAGTGCCCTCAAATAACGGCGCATCGAGAGGCCCGCGGCAGAAGAGCAGTCCTTGCAGCCGTCCTGCCAGCTGGCAGGATAGGGGGAGAAAGAGTCGGAGTCGCTGCGGGAATGGGAGCAGATGCACTCATGCTGGTTGCGGTTGTTGTTGTTTAGACATGTGGGCAGAGAGATGAATACCAACGGTGAGCACGCCACACATGCGCATCACATACCGGGTATGGCAAGGGCTTGGCGTTGAGAGTCTTCATCAGCAGATTCGCCTCCACAGGTTGAACCTGCACCCCGTGACACACCCAACAGCCAAGGTCGTGAGAAGCACAGAGCACAGCTGGGAAACAAATGCACCTGCGAACATGAGAGGGCATGAGAGGGCTTGAGAGGGCATGAGAGGGCATGAGAGGGCATGAGAGGGCATGAGAGGGTGAGAGCAACAGCGCACCTGGGCAGAGATGCCATACTGCCCGCCCGCACTCACCTGGGCGGAGATGCGGTACTGCCCCCCCCGCTCTGGTTGAGGTCCATGTCCCCCGACGCCCGCAGCGGCACGTGGCCGTACCGCCCCTCCACGCCGTGCAGAAACAGCCGCTGCCCCTCCAGCACCACCGCGCCTTGCACGCCCTAAGGCCCCGCGGACGGGGGGGGGGGGAAGGCGCAGAGGGGACGGCATGATGCAGAGAGGTCACAGCCTCACAGCAAACAACGGTCCGAAGCGTTGTGTGAGGAAATATGGTGGCACGGCTGGATGTGTGACAATGGATGGGGTTGGTGTGAGTGTGCAAATGGTGTGACAACGTGAGTGGCCTTACAGTGAAAGCACAGGGTGACTCCCATATTTGGAAAGCAAGGTCTCTGACGTCAACTCGGCCCTTGAAGTTGGGGAAAGAATCCCCCGCTCCCATCCACAGGTGCACCTGCTCTCTCGCACGCACACCCCCACACACACATGCACTCAAGCGCCTCACACACGCGCATAGGCATAAGAGCAGCACATGGAGTGCATTGATATGCACAGCGGCGAAGCCAATTGAAGCATGCAGGAGAAGAGAGATGGGTGCAGATGCAGGTTCTAACGAACGAGGCCTCTGGCAGCACGAGCAGCAAAAAGCACGAGGGAGTATAAGGGAGTATAAGGGAGTATAAGGGAGTATAAGGGAGAAGGGCAGCCAGTTGAAGAAAGCCAAGATCTTAAACCGCAGTGAGGCAGTGGTGACACAAGGATGCGGTGAGGCAGTGGAGACACATGGATGCAGTGAGGCAGTGGAGACACATGGATGCAGTGAGGCAGTGGAGACACATGGATGGGGTGAGGCAGTGGTGACACATGGATGCAGTGAGGCAGTGGAGACACATGGATGCGTGCAGCGGGGCAGTGGAGACACATGGATGCAGCGGGGCAGTGGAGACACATGGATGCAGTGAGGCAGTGGAGACACATGGATGCATGCAGCGGGGCAGTGGAGACACATGGATGCAGTGAGGGCGAGGGGCGAGGGCTCTCTGACCTGCCCATCGAGTCTGCCGCCGAACCAATCCAGGGGAATCTCCAGCAGCCGCTCCACCACCTGGCGCCAGCACTCGGGGGGGAGGTGGGGATGATGCTGATGGTGATGGTGATGCTGATGCTGATGCTGATGCTGATGCTGATGGTGATGGTGATGGTGATGGTGATGGTGATGGTGATGGTGATGGTGATGGCGATGGTGATAGTTGCAGGGAACACTGCAAAATGAGAAGCACGAGGCAGAGATGTACGATGAATGACCACAGCAATAATGCGCAACCGCGGGAAGCGTTCCTATGCAATGATGCATCAGCATCTGTTACATGCGTGGCGCATGGTGCAACATAGGGCAAAGTGATAAGGTGATGCGCTCAGCACATGGAACATGGTTCTTGGAACATGAATGGGGATGGGGCACAACACATGTGGCAGAGCAGCACGCACGGGTGCGAAGAGGTTGTGTGCGGTGACGGTGACAGCCCACTCGTGCTGCTCCTCGTCCACATCCACTGCCACACGCAGCAGCCCGCCTCCCCCCTCCCCTGCCGCCTGCTTCCCCCCTGCTGCGGCTCCATCAGGCATGCCAGGGGAAGGCGTGGAGGTTGCTCCCTTGCCACTGCTGCTGGGGGGCTGGGGGGACGAGGAGGAGGAGGAGGAGGCAGTGGTGGTGGTGGCGGTGGTGGGTGAGGGGGCGGCAGGGTAGTTGCAGCAGGAGCGCAGGGAGCCGTGGGCGTCCACCTTGATGCGCTTGTAGGAGCGGGGCAGCGAGGGGAAGCTCACATGCGCGTCTATGTGCTCCACCACGCTGATGGGTGGGTGGGCGGGGACAGGCACGCACGCATGGATGGAGGTGGCTTGATTATGACACATGTGTATACATATGTATGTATGTATGTATATATATATATATATATATATCTATATATCAATATACATGCACGTGTTGCATGCAATGAAAGAGTTGCACACGTGGGGTATATGCTAAACAGTCACAGATTGAGGCGCACGCACATGGCAACGAGCAGAATGGCAAGGGAGTTGTTCTCACCGTGGCTGCTGGTCGCCATACGCCACGAGCACGAGCGTGCCCCCATGCACCCGCACTCCCTCCATCATTGGCACCACCCGCCCTCCCCCCCCTGCCTCCTGCGCGCCCTTGCTCCCTCCGGCCCCTGACACTTCACTCGCCACTGCTGCACGCGCTGCCACTGCCGCTGCTGGCCCTGCTGCTGCCACCGCACCCACCCGCCCGGCTTCACGCGGCCCCTGCTCCCCCTCCCCGCGCGCCTCTCCCTGCTCTGGCCCCCCTCGCCCTGGTGCCGTGTGGAGCTTGCGCAACGCCCACTCGCGCGCACACACAGGCGCAGGGAGACCCCCCTTGGATACGCGCGGGGGGGAGGAGAGCGGCGGGAGGGACTGGGGGAGGAGAGGGGGGTGGTGGGGTGGCAGAGGGGGGAGGAGATGGGGGAAGATAAAAGTGATAACGGAATGAGGCATGGGGACTGGGTTGGATATGGGATGGACGGGGTGACGGATGGCAGCGACCAGGGCGGCTTACCTCAGCAGCAGTGTGGGGTGGAAGCTCTAGCTTCGGTATTCCTGGCTGGCGCTGCTGCTGCTGCTGCTGCCGCTGCTGTGTGCCTGCCACCACGACTGAGGACGCTGGCTCACTTCTGTACTCCTGCTGCACCTGCTGCACCTGCTGCACCTGCTGCACCTGCTGCACCTGCTGCACCTGCTGCTGCTGCTGCTGCTGCGCCTGGGAAGCAACCCCAGCAGCAAGAGGAGGAGCGGCGGTGCAGCCACTGGCAGCATCAGCGCTCAACGAGGTAACCCCCCCTCCGCTGCCTCATCCCTCCATGCTGCTCCCTGCCGTGTCCCTTGTGCCTCTACCATCTCTCTCTCCCCCCTCCCTCTCACCCACGCCTCTTGCTCCAAACCTACTGTGCGTCTCTCGCCCTGCCCTGCCACCTGTCTTTTCACCTGCCTGGCTACCTGCCCAGCTACCTGCCCAGCCACCTGCCCGGCCGCCTGCCCTGCCACTCGCTGCCTGATGGCATCCGCCAGTGCCTCCCTCAGAGCCGACTCGCTGCCCTCCCCTTCACTGCGCCCCTCACCTCTGCTTGCACTGCCCTCGCCCGCTCTCCCTCGCCCTGCCCCCAATGATGCATCCGTCCCTCTACCCGCCCCCCCTCTTGCTTCACTCTCACCTGCACCAACTACTGCAACTGGCCCTTTTGTGCCCGTGTTGCCATCTCCCGCCGTCCTCACAACCCCATCGTCCTTCTTTCCTGTGCTGCTTTCTCCATCCTGCATATGGCCTGATCGTCTCTCTCTGCCCTCCATCCGACCTGCACGCCCCTCGCTGCCCTTCCCCGCCGCCCTCTCTCCTTCCACGCCACCCGCACCGCTCCATCCCTCTCTCCCCCCGCCCTCGCCCCCCGCGCCATGTTGTGCAGGCAGCACAGCGGTGGCAGCGGGCGCGGGGGGGGACGGCATGAGGTGGGGCGGCAGGGAGGAGAGGTGGGCGAGCGCGGCAGAGGCGGAGAGCGACAGCAGGCGCTGCTGGGCAGTCAGGGGCGCCATGCTGGGGGCGCTGTCCATTGCGGGTGGGTCATTGCTCACGGCTGGGGGTGGTGCTGGGGCAGGAAATAGGGGCCCTTCGTCCCCCACCCACCCCAGGGCCACCACTGCAGCATGCAGGGCCTGGCTCACAGCCCTCTCTGCTGCCCGCTGCTGCTCTGCCACCCACTCCCACTCGCCCCTTGTCACACCCGCACCCACCTCCGCACCCCCAATTACTCTCCCTTGTCCACGTCCACCCTCCCCTCCCTCCCCTTCCTCCCCTACCCCACCATCCGCCCCCAGTGCGCCCCCCTCCCCCCGGTACTGGATCTGCGCCCCTCTCAGCGCCAGGCTGTCCCGCTCCTCCGCTGCTGCCACCGAGGCTGCGTCCCGAGCCTGGCGCTGCTGGTAGGCTCGCGCAGAGATGGGCGGGGCAGCGGAGGCGGGGAGGGCGGGGGCGTCCATGTCGCCGGGGATGCCGAGCCACGTCCAGTCGGGTTGCTGCGCCACCACCACCGTGGGCCGCGCCACCTCCGCGCCCACCACCACCCGCCCCCGCGCCACCGACGCCCAGGGGTGCAGCTGCGCGCACAAGGGAAGGCAGGGGCGCGAGAGAATGAAGGGGGAGGCGGCGGGAGGGACGGGATTGGTGGAGAAGCCGGGGTGATAGGCACTGGGGGCATGTACGCATGTACCATGCACGAGGCACGGCCTGCCGTGTGTCGGACATCATGCGTGCATTATGCAGTCTCCCGCCCGCTCACCTTCACATGCACCGCCTCTGCCTCCGCACATGAGAACTCAGACGTGCTGGGGCCGACGCCCAGGGGCCCCAGGCTCACCGCCCACGGCAGCAGCTGCTGCACGCGCCCCAGCGTCACCTGCCTGCCCGCCTGCGCGCTCACTGCCGCCGCCACCACGGGCAGCACGCGCGCCTGCACGTACTGCCGCGCCCTCTGCTGCGCGTACGCCCCCCCGCCCCACAGAAGCAGCGCCGCCAGCCCCCACGCCACCCGCCTCCACCCCACGCCCCGCTCCCGCCTGCGCCGCCGCCGCGCGGCCGCCAGGGGCGCAGGGGAAGACGGGGGCGCTGCATCCGCGGGGGGTTGGGGGGAGGGCGATGCAGGGGCACCACGGCGGGGCGTGTCAGAGGCAGTGGGGGGCTTTGGGGAACGGGAAGGGGGGGTGGAGGAGGAGGATGGGCGCGGGGCGGGTGGGGGGGGCGGGGAGGCAGGGGAGGCGCATCCGTTGAGGCTTTCAGCGGGAGGGGATGGTTTGCTGCTGCCGCTGCCACCTGACCTGCCTGACCTACCACCGCCGCCGCTGCTGCTGCCGCCACTGCCACCACCGTTACTGCTTCCGCCGCTACTGCCTCCCCCACCGCTTCCGCCACTGTCACCGCCACCAGCGCCACCAGCGCCGCCAGCGCCGCCAGAACTGCCAGCCCCCGCGCCAGCAGTAGGCCCATCCGCGCTGCTGTCGTTCCCCCGCTTCACTCTACCGCACACCACGCGCCCTCCGCCCCTGTGCCCTCCGCCGCGGCCGTTGGGCGCAACGGCGGGGGGCGGAAGGAGGAGCGCGGAATGGCGAGTGAATGGGGAGGGCGCGAGTAGCGGACTTGAGACGCGCGAGGGAAGCGCGTGCACGCGCGAGGAGCCTGTAAGCCACGCGCTGCTGGCGCTGCCGTGACGCGCAGCGGCGGGGAAGGCGGGGAAGGGGGAGAGTGGCGCGCAACCTGCCGTGTGGCGTGGAGAGAGCGCCCCTAGGCGGAAGAATTCTGGGCTTGAACCAACAATGGATCCCGCTCTGCGCGCCGCGGAAGACGTGCGGACGGACACGCGCGAGGCGGCGGAGGGACAGGGAGCGCGCGACGGCGATGAGGGGCGGGCAGGCAGCGTGGAGTGGCGGGCGATAGGCGGCGCATGAGAGGCGCGGGGGGGGAACGCGACATGGCATGGAGCAGGGGCAGAGGTGTGCGGGGGCGGGTGGGGGACGAGGGAGAGCGCGGCCGGCATGGTGGTGACATGCGGGAAAGGTGCGAGGGGGGAGAATCACATTCTATGTAATCACATACTAGTACAGGCCCGCTGGCGATCGCAGTGTGGCGGCGAGACTGGGGAAGCACGCGAAATGGTGGTGGGAGTGATCAGGCGGCCTCCCTGGTTCCGCAATGCGCGCTTCAAATGCTGGGTCCTGAGACCATTGCTGGGGAGAACTCATTATCACAAATCCAACATGGCAATAGCAGCCCATGCAAGATGTAGAGAAAACTTGTTCACACTAGCGTCCAATGTGTGCTTGCTTGCAACCACCTACAGCTCTCCCACTAGAGACGAGCCGTAGGTACTGACAGCTCAGCTGCTTCCAGACAGAATCAAAACCAGAAGCAGCTGCCTGAAACGGCTGGGGATGGGAGTGAAGATATTCGTCTAGGCCAAGCAGGGGTCGGTACCATGCGCATTACCATTGACTCAACGGACCTAACCTAACCTGCAGCAAGGGGCGTCATGATTTCAATTGCATTGCAGCCAACAAAGGCTGGATTGCACGTTTACAGGAACCACCGCCTAGTGGTGCAGCAAGCCTATAGGCACTAGCGCGTGTGTGGTCAGTCCCACGCCAAGGCCAGCAAAGAGTTGGCGAGGCCGGCATCTGCAATGGTGGTGGCGGAGGAGAGGTCCAGAGGCGCGGAGCCGGGCAGCGCAAGCGACAGGCGGAAGGGCCGCCCCGCTGCCGCCTCTGGCAGCTGCTGGCGACACCACGCCCGCAGCACCTGGGGTTGACGGGGGGGTGGGGGGGGGGATGGATGGAGTAGGAGAGAAAGGTAGTGAAGATGAGGAGAAGACCATGTGACCCGCAGCACACCCATGACACGCAGCGCACCCATGACACGCAGCGCACCCATGACACGCAGCGCACCCATGACACGCAGCGCACCCATGACACGCAGCACACCCATTACACGCAGCACACCCATTACACGCAGCACACCCATGACACGCAGCGCACCCATGACACGCAGCACACCCATTACACGCAGCGCACCCATGACACGCAGCGCACCCATGACACGCAGCACACCCATGACACGCAGCACACCCATTACACGCAGCACACCCATGACACGCAGCGCACCCATGACACGCAGCGCACCCATTACACGCAGCACACCCATGACACGCAGCGCACCCATGACACGCAGCGCACCCATTACACGCAGCACACCCATGACACGGGAGGCAGGCGAGCGAGCAGCACCTCAAGTGGATGCAAGGAGAGGAATCGGCGCTGCAGTCGAGCGCCATCCGGGCAGCGAATGGCAATGCGACAGCTGGCAGGAGTGCCGACTGCCGGCTCCTCAGGTACTTCGACCTCCGCCGCCGCTGCCCCTCCTGCCTGTGCTCCCTGCTGCTCCTCTGCCTCGTGCAAGGCATCGTCTCTGCCTGCCCCCACCCCCCCACCCTGTTCCTCTCTCCCTGCCTCGCCCTTCTGCCCCTCCGAGTGTCCCTCCAGGGAGGCGGCCAGGGCCAGGCGAAGCTGCTCCTCCTCGTCCTCCTCGCCACTCCGCCCGACTACCCCACCCCCTGTGCAGCCTCCGGCACGTCACGTGGCTTCTTGGGCGGCCGCACCTCCCGCCTGGCAGGGACGCGCCCTCCTGAGGGGCGCGGTCGATAAAGGGCATCAGATCCTGCTCGCACGCACGCATGCACGCACACAGGCAGGCACGCAGGTGATGTGGGGCCATGAGGAAGCTCAGGACAACTTCACGGATGAGGCAGAAGCAGCACAAAGGCACACTAGTGCCAGGAGACAGGTTCTAACGCCAGATCCCCTTCCCCTTCCCCTCCCCCTCCTCCCACCTCGAGCAGCTGGTCAGCGGAGAGGGCGCCCTCCCAGCAGCGCTTGCGCTGGCCCGTGGCAGGGTGCAGCACCATGACCACCGGCAGCCCCGCCACCCCGTAGTACCCACACACCTTGGCGCCCTCCGCCGCCGCCGCATCCACCTGCCAGCGCCAAGCACGCACGGGAGGGGGCAGTGGCGGGCACAGTGTCATTCGTTGAGGGACGGGCACAACACGACTGGTGGAATGGGAGTGGGTGGGCCCCTGGTGCAGCTGGCTGACAGCGAATGTGACAGGCTGTGATGAGCTGCCACGGCGCATCCAACCGCCACCCAATGGTGACCCGCCGAAACCACCTGCCAGAACCACCAGAACCACCTGCCAGAAACACCTGCCAGAACCACCTGCCAGAACCACGTGGCAGAGCCACGTGGCATTCTGACCTGCCATAGAACGAAGTAGGTGGTGATGGTCTCCTTGACGGCTGGCACGGCCCACACGTCCCTGTTGAGCATGTGCGAGGCGAACTCCCCCGTCGACTGCACGTTCACCAGCAGCCACTTGCCCTCCGCGCCCGCACGCTGCTTCGCCTGCACGCACGCATGCACGCGTGTAGAGGAAATCATCAGCGATGGATGCGCGCATGCAGTGCAGTGCAACACAACACAGCAGCGGTGGGCACCCCATGAAAAAGGGTGATGTGCGGCCATGTGCACTAGCCAGGCCGTGCATGTGTGTGCCCCCCCCCCCCCCCCCCAACCTGGTCAAAGGACCCCGCAAAGAGGATGTCGTACGGCGGCTCAAACAGCGACGCCAGCGATGCCTGCCGCACTGCCCCCCCTCGCCCCCCTGCTGCCCCTCCCCCCGCGCCCTGGCCCTGGCCGCTGCCTCGCCCCCAAAGTCGCGAAAGCCATCCACCACGGGCGGGGCGGCTGCCGCCAACGCCCTGGCCGACACGCTGGGGGGGTGAGGGTGGGGGGAGGGGAATAGGGGCGAGGGAGGAGTGCAGGTTGCGATGGAGCAGGGGGGATGGCGGGGAGCTAGCGAGGGGTGAACGAAAGACACCACGGGTCAAGGAGAATGTGCGTGGCGCGGCTCAAGTGTACTCACCCAGGAGTGGGTCAGTTGAGGGCATGCGAGCACTCACCCCAGCGTGGGTCGGTTGAGGGCATGCGAGCACTCACCCCAGCGTGGGTCGGTTGAGCGCATGCGAGCACTCACCCCAGCGTGGGTCGGTTGAGCGCATACGCATCGCCGTACAGCGCCTCCCTCCTCACCGGCAGAGGCGCTCGCACCACCTCCTCCCCGCCTCCCATGCTGCCGCCCATGCCCAGTCCTCCCCCTCCTGCTGTGGCTGCTGCTGGTGCTGGTGGAGGGGACGAGGAGCGTGGAGGGGGCGTGGCATCACGCGGCCTGGCAGACGCCAAGTGGGGGAGATGCAGGGGGGGGGAGGAGAAAGGGAGGAGAAGCGGAGGAGAAAGGGAAGGGGGCGAGTGAGGCAGGAACGCCATGGGAGGCGCGTGAGGCGCAGCGAGAGGAGAAGGGAATCCTCGGCCGGGCATGGATAGAAGCGCCACCCACTGCGCTCACAGCAATCAGCCCTACCCGGTGCCTCCACCGCCCCCTCGCCCCACAGCGCCTCCGCCATCCGCGTCCGCCCGCTGTGCGCCTGCCGCCTCCGCGCCCCCTGCGAAGAACAGCTGCACCGCCTCCTCCAGTCGCCAGCTCGTCGCCTGCACGCACCCGGTCGCACAGCGTCGCACAGAGGGCAAGGCCGTGGGTGAGTCACAGGGCATGGGTGGACGGGCGCAGACAGCGCTTGCAGGATTGGATGAGAAACAAGGCGCGGGCCAGGCGGCAGTGGGGAATTCTCGAGAGAGTTGGAGACACGGCGGGGCGGCACGGCGGGGCGACCTGCAGCATCTGGAGCGCGACGGCGTCGTCGCTGCCCGTGAAGTCGATGAAGCTCGCCACCAGCGGCCCCACGTCCGGCTCCGCCATCGCCGCCCCCACCCCTGCTCCGCGCCCTGCTCTGCGCCCTGCTCTGCCCCCTGCCCCGAGCCCTGCACCGCAACTTGCTTCTCGCGCACAGGTCGAGCTTGCCGGGCGTGCGAGCGTGTGCAGCGTGCGCTGATGATTGGTGAGACGGGCTGATGCAGGGAGTTGGGAAAGCTGTGGAAGCCGTGCGTGGGTGAGAGCAGAGGGGACAGAAAGCAAGAGCCAGCGCACACGGCCCGCGCTTCCGAAGCGTCGGGTTTGGCTTCGCTTGGATGGTGAATCCACAGATGCGTTTCATGTAGGCAGATGCGGTAAGCCTCGTAACGAAGTAAACAATATCGATGCGATCCCCAACTGTGCTTCGGTCTCTTCGCTGGGTTGACGAACTGGGTTTGCGAGATGTAACTTAATTCGTTGCGAAAATTATTCAGCAAAACCTGGAGAGTTTTGGAGTCTGCTTCTCAGCTGCACTGCCGCAGTGATCGCGCATGTCCCCCCACCCTGCCTCAGTCCCTATCCACTTTTCCCCCCGACCTTTTTTTTCTCCACTGCCAAAGCCCTCCCTTGGGTTGCGGGCTCGAGAGGCAGCGTTTACGCTTCTCACATAGCAGCACTGCGCGCCGAATGCTCCCTCCATGAGTGTGCCGCCCACCCGTCGCAGCACGGCACGAGGCTGACCATTGACGCCCGCACCACTGGCACTCCCGCCGCCGTAGTCCCCTAGGCATGGCGCTCTTAGCGCGCACACCCCTGCTTCCCGCCTCCCCCTCCCCCCCCGCCTCTAGCGCTCTCATTCCCGCTCTCCACCTCTCCCGGCCCTTCCCCCTCCGCCAACCCCGCCTAAGACTGCGCATATGCGTCGCCGCGTCGTCATCGTCGTCGCCTGGCGACCAGAAGGTGGCAGAGCAGGATGAGGCGAGTCTGCCGCCCAAGGAGAGCGAGGTGCTCAGCCTCAAGGTGCGGCCCGCGCCCTTCCCCCGCCTGCATGGTAGTGCCACGAATTGACCTCCGCTCCGTCTCCCTTGCACTCCCGCCGATCGCGCAATTGGCGCGCTATGCGCCTCACTGCCGGCCTTGTTAGGGTTACGCGATCACGTAGCGCCGTGCCCCTTAAAGATCTCGCATCTGCCAATGCGCAGCCGGCACTCTCTCGCCCGGAAGCGTGGAACCCTAATATCAGGCTGCCCATGGGTGTGCCCGCGTGCGGGCTACGCCTGCACCTCCAGCAGTCGTTAGAATCCCCCATCCCCTGCGACCGCCACCTCCATTCCCAACCTCCTGCTCCCCCTGCCCTCTCCCGTGCCTCCCACCATTCCCCCCTGCCGCCCATTCCCCGAACCGTCCACCGCCCCCGTTTGTGTCACCTTCAGCGCGAGTCGGAGCAACCCCCCAAACAGCCTCCTCCCCGCGCCACCAGCGCTTCCGCCTCCCCCCTCCCCCGGGGCCGTGCTGGCGCGGGCAGGCGGGGGGAGCGCGCGTCAGTGGGGGAGGTGGTCCGGGGGGCAGTGCGCGCAGTGGAGGACGCGCCCGTTGAGACTGTCGGCACCGCCGCCGCCGCCTCAGGTGGGCTTGCTGCTTCTGCTGCCGCCGCAGGTGGGCTTGCTGCTTCTGCTGCCGCCACAGGTGGGCTTGCTGCTTCTGCTGCCGCCGCAGGTGGGCTTGCTGCTTCTGCTGCCGCCGCAGGTGGGCTTGCTACCCTGCCCAACGTTTCTCTCACTCTGTCTCCCATCTCGCGTTCATGCGTCAGTGCAGCGCATGCTAGCTCCCTCCCTCCCTCATCCCACCCTTCTTTTTCCCCACCTCCTCCTCCCTCCCCCCTGCGCCTCCCCACTTCCCCCCCTGCGTGCGTGCGTGTGCGTGCGGGCATCAGGGCTGGCGGTGCTGGGCGTGGTGTTCGCGACGTCGCTGCTGGGGTCGCTGGACTCCGTGCCGCTGGCGCCCGAGTTCATGCAGACCATCGGCGTCGTCTACTGCGCCCTCGTCGCCAGGTCGCCCCCGCCTTCCCGCCCCCTCGCTCTCTCCCTCCCTACTGCACACTCACCCACGCATGTCTTGCCCCTCCACTTGCTGCCACTGCCACATTCCCCCCGAGCCTCTCATGTGCGTCACGGTGTGAAGCTCCTGTTTTATCTATGCGTGTCCCTCCTCCCCACCCCCCGCACCCCCTTCGCCCCCCCTCCGCGTGTGCGTGGCAGGCAGTACTTCACGAAGCGCAAGATCCCCGCAGCCCCAACGCCCATCACGGCCATCCAGACGCTCTTCCCCAACATCGCCTCCGACGAATCTGCCCCTGACAGCCCCGCCTCGCGCATCCCGAGGTGAGCCACACCGCCATGTGTGGGCTGTCGCTTGTGAAGGATGGCACGTAGCAGCAGGGCAAGGGCTTGACGTGTCTCACAAAGGCCACATGCACGATAGGAAGCGGAAGCCCTTTTGCGCCGGGCCATCCGCAGCCCCTCTGCCCGCCGTCAGCCCTGTCCCTCCCCCCCGTTTCCCCTCTACCCGCCTCCCCCACCCCGTTCCTCTGTGCGCGGCAGGGCGTGGGCGAGGGCGTGCAGGGGCGGCTGCGCGCGCTGGAGGCGGAGAGGGACGTGGCGGTGGCGGCGGCGGGGGAGATGCGGCGTGCGGGGCAGGAGATGGCGCGCGTGGGTGGCGGAGAAGGAGGCGCTGGAGGCCGTGGCGCTGCAGCTCGCGGACCGAGCGGGACTCCGCCATCGCTGAGGTGGGAGGAGAGGGACAGCACATGGCAGCACGGGATTCGGCTGCCGCGCATGGCAGCACGTGGCTGGTCAAGCTGCATGCTTGGCACATGTTTGACACATGCTTGCACTTCATTGCGCTGTCATTTGTTTTCCCAGATGTGGTCCTGCCACAGCTACTGACGCACCTACACGCACGTGGTGACGTGCATGTGCGGTGGCGTGCCTGCATGCGTGCGTGCGTGCATGCATGCATGCGTGGGCGTGGGGTGCAGGTGACGGCGCTGAAGACGGCGGTGAACGCGATGACGGAGCGCATGCGCGCCATCGAGGCCATGCTGGCGTCCGAGGTTCAGCGCCTGCAGGAGCAGAACCTGGCGCTCGAGACCGTGGCGCTGCAGCTGGCTGATGAGCGGGACTCCGCCATCAAGCAGGTGGGGGGGATGAGGGACTCCGCCATCAAGCAGGTGGGGGGGATGAGGGACTCCGCCATCACGCAGGTGGGGGGGTGTGGTGGGAGGAGCGGTCAGACATGGGAGGAAGCATGTGAGCTGGTGAATCTCCGACCCTCAACTTGGTGTAGCCACCGCCTGTTCATTTCCATTCACCTGTTTCGAGCTCGTCCCTCCACCCTACCCGCCCATCATTCCAACCCGCACTGCTCCGCCTGTCCGTGCTTGCGTGACATGCTGCCGGTGCACGGGACAGGCGTCGGAGCTGCGGGCGGCGTTTGAGGCGCAGAGGGAGGAGGACAAGCGCGTGCTGGAGATGCTGGCAGCGCAGCTCATAGAGGAGAGGAACGCCGCCGTCAAGGAGGTGCACGAGCTCAAGCAGGTGAGGCCAGCAGCTCAAGCAGGTGAGGCCTGGAGGCGGGGGAAGGGGACGAGTGATATGCACCATGGGGAACAGAGCCCTCTTGGTGTCGTTTCTGTATTCCAGCTCACGGCCTCTGCTTTTCCTGCTATTCACCGCTTGTCCCCCCGGTGCTGCACGGGACGGCAGGTGGTGGCGGGGCTGGCGGAGGCCACGGGGGGCGGGCAGCGGGCTGACGCAGGAGATGGAGGCGTTCATCCGCAGCCGCGTGCGCGCCGTGCGCTCCCAGTTCGTCGACATCTCCAAGCCCTACTCGCAGCAGGGTGAGTCGACATCTCCAAGCCCTACTCGCAGCAGGTGAGTGGACATCTCCAAGCCCTACTTGCAGCAGGTGAGTCGACATCTCCAAGCCCTACGCACAGCAGGTGAGTCGACATCTCCAAGCCCTACTCGCAGCAGGTGAGTCGACATCTCCAAGCCCTACGCACAGCAGGTGAGTCGACATCTCCAAGCCCTACTTGCAGCAGGTGAGTCGACATCTCCAAGCCCTACTCGCAGCAGGTGAATCGACATCTCCAAGCCCTACTCGCAGCAGGTGAGTCGATGCTTCATACCCCACTGCCTGCGGTTCTGTGGACACACAAGAGCATACAGACGGAGCCACGCACGCAGGGGCACTCATCCCCGTTGCAGGTGCCATGGCATGTCAACCGTACATGTCAGCCGTACATGTCAGCCGTACATGTCAGACATACATGTCAGCCGTACATGTCAGCCGTACATGTCAGCCGTACATGTCAGCCGTACATGTCAGCCGTACATGTCAGCCGTACATGTCAGCCGTACATGGCACCTCCACCTTCCCAGCATATCGAGCTCGTGTGCAAGCTCAAGTGTCCTGTGTGCTGCATGCCTATGCCCGTGTGTGTGTGTGCCCACGTGCCCCCCAGGAGGAGGCGGTGAATGTGTTCGTGGCGCATCTGGTGGAGGAGTTTGGCGCGCCCAGGGAGTGGACGCAGCGCTACATCCGCCAGTTCCTCGACGCCTCCTCCGACGGCCACGCCATTGCCCTCAACGGCCCCGTACCCCCCTCCGACCGCTTCAACTGAACTGGCTCGATTGTGCATGTGCTCAAGCAAACGCCACTGTGGTCTCCGTTCACTCCTTTTTCCAATAAAGCTGTGCTGCCCGCGTTGGCTCTGCTTGCACTGATGCTACTCCCCTTGCTCCTGCTCCTGCTCCTGCTCCTGCCCATGCTCCTGCTGCCATCGAATGGCACACACGCGACCAAGCTAGGGGCATGCACCCACCCTGGTTGATGGCACACACACACACATGCGATGGATGCATACGCCACGCCATGGCTTGCCTTTGAGGGCAAATATACGAGAGCACCGTTCAGTGGGAAGCAGTAAGCCCGCGGAGATTTTCCACCATATTTGTAGAATAGCGAATGTCAGATGTGTTGCGTAGTGTTGCCGTTAGCTACTACTAGAGGCAGGGTTATTGCACACATAAGGCAAGGGTTTGAGGTCCATAACAACCACTGTACATGTGCTGACTGCTGCACATTTGTGCAACAGTAAGAATGAAACCTTCATCTAGGTTCTTCATAGGTACCGTACAGCAGAACAGTGTTTTCACTGCTATCGAACAGGCGGAAGCATCTGGCTTCCTGAATAATGCAAACGGTATGTTTCCAAAGAATGGGTTCCTTTTGACACATCCAGCGAGCACACAGCTCCCCACAGCATCCCTATCCCTCCTCTCCTGCTCGCTCCCTGCCACCGCCACCCCTGCCACTACCTCCTTCACTCCCGCATCTCTCCGTCAGCTCCATCCCCCACCACCAGTGGGTGCTCCTCCTCTGCTTGAACCCCTCCCCCCGCCCCCTTGGAGGGCGATGGCGGAGGCACTGTGCGGCGCAGGTATGAGCGGGGAGGCGTCCAGGGGGATGGCGGAGGAGGAGGTGGGGGCGGACGCCGGTGGTGCTGGTCTGGACGGAGGGGCGAAGGAGGAGGGGGGCAGCAGCCGCTGCGGCAGAGAGGGACGCCACCAGGGCTGCGAGGGACGACTCCTCAGGCGGCTGTGATGATGAGGTCGGGGGGTTCGCGCTGGCTGCTGCTGCTTCTGTGCTGCAGCTGCGCACCGGCGCATGGCCGCTGGCAGCAGCGGGAGTGTGGGAGAAGAGGTGCCCCGCGGCACTGGCATGGGCTGTGGGGTGCCCTGCTGATGCCGCCTCTGATGGCCGCCGGGGGCGCTTCTGCATCTGGTGTGGGCACGGGTGGTAGGGGGGGTGGGATTAGATGGATGGACAGAGAAATGTGAAGTGGATGAAAGGAGCACTAATGGGACAGAAACCAGAGACCAAGCAAAGCAAGACTGACCTTGTTGCCGAAGACGCTGAGCTGCATGGCTCGCTCCATCAGCTGCCTGTCCACTGCCACCCGGTCTGCCAGCATGGCAGCCAGCTCACTGCCACGTGGCATGGTCATCTCACTGTCCTCCACGTCCCCGTACCCTCCATGCGCCACCGCCGTTCCCCCCCCCATCATGCTGCCCAGCACCCCGCCCAGCCCGCCCCCAGCACCAGCAGCACTTCTCCCCGGAGTGGCCCCGGCGGCCACTCCCCCTCCTGCCGTGCGCGCACCCACGGGCGCCCCCCCGCGCAGGCGCGATGAGATGAACCCGTCATCGTCGTCGTTCTCCTCGTCGCCGCCCTCCAGCTGCCACCGTAACAGCGTCGCCGCGTCGTGTGCTGGCGCATTGCGGTGCCCGTGGAAGGTGCTGGAGGGGCAGGGAGGGGCGGGCGCATGCATGGATTGAGAGCAAATAGACTTGTTGTGTTGTGGCTCCACGGGAAACCGTGCGGCAAGTATTAGTAGCGAGCGATACGCGCAGGTGTGGGAGAGGGAGGAGCGCATGGGGGGAGAGGGAGTGAGGGAAGGGGCGTCTCACCGTGTGGGGGTGCCCTGCAGGGAGTGCTGGGGGTGCGGCATCTCAACGACCATCAGCTTGCACATGGTGAGCGCGATGTACGACGGCGCCGACGAGCCATCCACGGGGGCTGGGGAATGGGGGGTGAATGGAAAGCCAAGATAAGGAACCGAATATCCCAAGCAAAGCAAAGCCACATGATGAAATGACAGCAGCTAATAGCCCCTTCGCATGGGCACGCCAGAAACAGCAATAACCACGCGACCAAACGGCGGCTCACCAGCCGTGGTGGGCTGCGGGGTGAGGTACGCGGGCGCGTTGATGCTCACGATCCGGCCGTCCTCCACTATCACCCCCAGCTCCATCTCCTCCCGGCTGCCCCCCCCTCCCTGCCGCTCTGCCACCCGCCCCTGTCACCATCGCGGTCCTTGGAGCTTATGGCGCGCACGAGGCGCTGACTGCCCTTGGAAAGACTCCTGAACCCGCTCTTGAGCACCTCGCTCCTCGTTCTGAAGAAGCCGCCCCTGCTGCCGCTGCTGGCCCCGCCCTGCTCCCCGCCCTCGCTCCTCACCTTGCGCGCCGCCTGCCCCTCCGCCTCCTTGCCTGCCCACTGCGCGTGTGGCCTGCCATCAGGCCCGCCATCAGGCACGTCCGACATGCTGGCGGACACCGACACTGACACCGACACGGATGCCTTGTCCTCAAAGCTGCTCTCCGTCATGTTGCCGTTCACGCTGCCCTCCCGGCTGCTGTGGTTGCCAGCGCTGTCGGCGGAGAAAGCACCTAGCGCCATGCGCTGAGGAGGGGAGATGGGTGGTACAGCTGGCGGGGACGACGCGGGCGCAAGAGGAGCGGCGGCGGGGGACCCAGCGTGGGGAGTCATCTGACGGCTGACCGCTGCTGCAGGCTGATTGGCCGCTGCCCCTTGAGGGCTGCCCCACGCATCAGCAGCTGGCAGCTCGTCAACACGCCCGCCCTTCTCCTCTCCCTCCCCCTCTCGCCCTCCCTGCTGCCCCACCACCATCCCCCCCGTCGCCCTCAACCCCCTCCCCCGGCAGGCGCACGGCCCCCAGCAGCAGCAGCGCGACCTCGCAGGGCGCCAGGTGGATGGCGGTGTGGGGGGCGATGGTGAGCAGGCGGGCGGAGGAAGCGAAGAGCACTCGCAGGTCGTGCATGGAGAGGGCGCCGAACTCCATGGGGCGCAGCACCCGCGCCACCTCCAAACAGCTCTCCTGAGAGGGTGGGTGGTGAGAGGGCGTGGTGAGATGTTGAGAGGGCAAAGGATGTGAGAACACCACTTTTGTTGATTACAGGGCCACTGGGATGACTGAGAGATCCCCGAGGCCTACGGCATCTGTCCTCGGAAGTGTGGGTGCGCTGACCACCAATTCAACATGCCCTTTTAAACCAGTCAAGTAGCGAACCAGTGTTTCTAACACTTACAGTTTTTTTTCCATTTCCTCATTCCTCCCTCATCATTTCCCCCCTCCCCCTTAAGCCCCCCCCCCGCCTCTCGCCCTTCTTCCCCGTGGCACCTTCCAGAGGAAGTCCTGGATGGCGTCGCTGCTGTCCTTGGCCGCCAGGATGCGCTGCCGATCGATGAAGAAGCAGTGCAGCACGCTGTCCGCCACCACCGAGTACTGGTGCGCGCACCCGCGCAGCGTCTCATACAGCCCCACCGAGCTGCCGTGCGCAAACAGCGGCGGAATCAAGTGCTGCCCGTGCGCCTCCGCCTCCGCCTCCGCTGCCTTGGACGTCCACTGGGGACGGGGAGCCGGAGAGGAGCGGGAAAGGGAGGGGTAGGGGGAGAGGTATAGGAGGGGAGGGAATGCAAGGGAATTTGTCAGCAGTGATGCAAACTTAAGAGAACAGAGTGGCTGCAAGTTGTGAAGGTTACCTTGGCGGTGCCAGAGGCAATGAGCCAGACGCCCTCGGCGGGCTGCCCCTCTTGGAAGAGCGTGGAGTCGGACAGCTTGGTGGCCTCCTTGAGCGGCTGCAGCAGCGCCAGGCGGATGTCCACCGGCAGCGCGCCGATGAGCGGCTGCCGCAACAACACCTCCTCCGCCGGCAGCATGGCCACAAAGGGCGGACTGCGCTGCAGCTTCTTCAGGTCCGCCTGGTCAGAGCAGGGGGAGTGTATGCAATCACGGAAGGGCAAGGGACTGAGAGAATCACAGGGCAGGGGAATGCACGCAGTGCAGGGTACAGGAATGAGGGGCAGGTGATGAGACGAGGCGGAGAACAAGGTAAAGGTGCGCGGCAAGGTGTGAGACTTGGCACTGCAAAGGCGAGAGTGGAGAGCAATGCAAGGGAGTGAAGGCAGGTCAGGACGAGAAAATGAGGGCAGGGCAGGGCAGGGCAGGGCAGGGCAGGGGACTGAAAGCAGGGAAAGGCTAGGGAATGTGAGCATGGGAGGGCAAACGAATGAGTGCAGAACAGGGCAAGGAAATTAGTTTGGCTCCATGTCTCATTCCCTTGCCCTGCCCTCACATTCCCTTGCCCTGTCCTGCCCTGTTCTCTTCAACTTCTGCTGCAGGTGGAATGGTACAGCTTCTGGTGGCGGAGGGAATGCACAGTCTACTATGGACGCAGGAGCCTGAACACAAGTTCCCTACACTTGGCCCTTGACCCACCGTGACGGCGTTGTGCAGCAGCACGACCTCTTTCTGGTCCAGCAGCCCCGAGTGGTCGAGGTTCTCCACGTAGCCGTGCAGCTCCTGCAGGATGGCGTGCGTCACCTGCTTCGTTTTGATGATCGTCAGCACCTGAACGAGGCAGTGCGGGGGGGGGGAGACATGAACAGACGGTGGGTAAGATTATTATTTTTATTAATTAGTTTTGCTTAGGTATGCACGGTTCAAAATGGCGTGCAAAGCTTGCAGGGCTAACCTTGTGAAGCGGCTAGGTGCGCAGACCACAGAGCAGAGCTTTCTTCCGTGCGTTCAAGAGGGAATGTGTCATCTCTAGCGGGGCTCACCTCGGGCACGTTGAGGCGCACGGCTCACCTCGGGCACGTTGACGCCCACGACTCACCTCTGGCACGTTGAGGCGCACGGCTCACCTCCGGCACGTTGAGGCGCACGGCTCACCTCGGGCACGTTGAGGCGCACGGCTCACCTCGGGCACGTTGACGCCCACGACTCACCTCTGGCACGTTGAGGCGCACGGCTCACCTCCGGCACGTTGAGGCGCACGGCTCACCTCGGGCACGTTGAGGCGCACGGCTCACCTCTGGCACGTTGAGGCGCACGGCTCACCTCCGACACGTTGTGGCGCACGGCTCACCTCGGGCACGTTGACGCCCACGGCTCACCTCGGGCACGTTGAGGCGCACGGCTCACCTCGGGCACGTTGAGGCACACGGCTCACCTCGGGCACGTTGAGGCGCACGGCTCACCTCGGGCACATTGAGGCGCACGGCTCACCTCGGGCACCTTGAGGCGCACGGCTCACCTCGGGCACGTTGAGGCGCACGGCTCACCTCGGGCACGTTGAGGCGCACGGCTCACCTCGGGCACGTTGAGGCGCACGGCTCACCTCGGGCGCGTTGAGGTGCACGGCTCACCTCGGGCGCGTTGAGGCGCACGGCTCACCTCGGGCGCGTTAAGGCGCACGGCTCACCTCGGGCGCGTTGAGGCGCACGGCTCACCTCGGGCACGTTGAGGCGCACGGCTCACCTCGGGCACGTTGAGGCGCACGGCTCACCTCTGGCACGTTGAGGCGCACGGCTCACCTCGGGCACGTTGAGGCGCACGGCTCACCTCGGGCACGTTGAGGCGCACGGCTCACCTCGGGCACGTTGAGGCGCACGGCTCACCTCTGGCACGTTGAGGCGCACGGCTCACCTCAGGCACGTTGAGGCGCACAGCTCACCTCGGGCACGTTGAGGTGCACGGCTCACCTCGGGCACGTTGAGGCGCACGTCCTCCAGAAACTTCTTCGCCTCCTTCTCCTCCTCCTCGCTCTCCAGCACCACCGCCTCCAGGATGGGGCTGTCCTCTGCGAGGGAAGGCATGGATGGCACACCCGGATGCACGCATCAAGGACAGCCCTGCTGTAGCCACTTCCTTCGTCGGGGTTTCAAACACGGAGACCCTGGCGCATCCGTCACAGCCAGCACCCAGCACCCAGCACCCAGCACCCAGCACCCAGCAGCACCCACCCAGCAGCACCCAGCACTCAGCACCCAGCACCCAGCCCCCAGCACTCACTGAGGAACTCCCGCAGCTGCTGCCTGGTCTGCCGGAGCGCGCGGATGTACGCGGCGGACATGGAGGCGGCCAGCTCCAGGCGGTCCACCGTCACCCAGTTGAGCGCGCGCTGCGGCAGCAGGGGGCGCAGCGCGCGGTGCAGCGCGCGGAAGTAGCGCGGCATGCGCACGTGCGGCCGCATGGCGGGCCACAGCAGCAGGCGGCGGCCCTGCACGGTGTGGTCGATGGCCTCGGCCACGGCCTGCATGAGCAGCATGGCGGCCGTCTGGTTGACACGCCCCTCCTCCAGCATGCTCCAGTACGCCGCCTGCACGCCGTTGAGGAACCGCAGCCGCGTGTCCGCCAGCTGCTGCTG